TTTGTCATGAGCGATCCCATTCTGATCTCCGACGAGGAGGAGGATTCACCTCCATTCCCGTCGAAGAAGGCTCGGAAGAATCCTACTACCCCTACCGATCCGACACCGGAGAAACAACCGCCGGGATCTGCTGCCACTCCTTTGTTCGTCGACGAGTTACCTTTCTATGACCATGTCACTGTCGTTAAGTGTGGAGTTTCTTCTCGCGGAGAAGACAAGTTTTCCGGTAAGTTGAAGTCCCTGATTGAGAAATCTCACAATCCGTCTTTGTTATTTCAGTAGGTAAGGTTTGTCTCCGACGGTTTTTGATGAAATTGTTTCGTTTGTAGGGAAAATTTATACCGAGGAGCCTGTTCTATTTGTCAATTTGGGTGATTTTTGATGGGTCTTTCAGTTCTTTGTTAGGGTTTTACTATATGTACTTTCTTTTTTGCTGGGTTCTTTCTACTGAATCACTTAGGTGAATTAAGTTCTACGAAGCTTTCATATCTTCATATGATGATGCTTAGTTTCCTGGAAATCGGATTTTACATTCGAAATTTTATTAGTGTAGTCATCAGGTTAACACTATTCCCCTCTTCTTGTCTAAGTTTCTTTTGGAAATCTCACTAGGTAAACAAGTAATATCTCTTGGTTCGGATTCTGAAGACAGTCCTCGAGCTGAAACTTCGAACAAGTATGAGTCTGTGCATGCTGATTCTTTGGAGCAACGCTGGGAATTAGGATCTGGATCCAGTGATGCAGATTCTGGTGATGCAAACGATGACCCGAAGACAAGAATATCTAACCCAAGTATTTCATGCGGTATGTTTACTCCAGAACCAAAGTTGACTAGTTATGAACTATAAAGTATGTGTGATATATATTGTAAAGGGTCTCTGCTCCACTTTGAAAATGGTGGTGTCTGTTTTGTTTCAGATGATAGTACTAATTGGATGCAGGGAGCTATCTTTCGATCTTCGTTTCCCAATGATGCTCTTGAGGTACTTATCTCAATCTGCAGTCATACCATATTCTTGGCTCTTTTTTTATTTTGTGATACCTAATGATTTCTTTTCAAGGATTAGGAGAATTTGGGATTCCCATAGTGTCATTTGTTTGTGTATTTTGGGTATTGCTAGTTATTTCTTTCTTTTGTTTGGTGCACATTGTGTTGATCTTGTATCACTAGATGGTACAAGCTGTATAATAAAACAAATTTGCTTGCATCTTCTGTTTTTTTTTTATTTACTTGCAATAATCAGGTAGATTCTGACCAAGAGAAAGAAGTTATAAGCATTGAGAAAAGGGGTCGAAAAAAGCAGACCAGAAGTTCTAAAAGTACATCTCTTTCTGTTGAAGCATTGCGAAAAAAACAGATGTCAAAGGAGGAAAAAATCCGTGCGACCAAATTAAGAAAAGAAGTGCGTGTGTCTTTTTATTTGGCTTTTATATTTTGTGTTTTCTGGACCTATTAGTTAACTGGCTTCCATCTCCAGCAAGAGAAATTACAGAAAGCTGCCTTGAAAGCAGAAGAAGCCGGGCGTGCAAAGTTAGAGAGGGAAAAGCAGAAATTGGGAAATGGAAAGTCAGCGCTTAAATTTATTGTTGCTGAGATTGATGCTAAATTGGTAGAAGGATCAGTTGGAGGTAACAACTTTCTCCATTCTTCGATCACTCTTCAACATATTCTTCAAGATTGGCTGGTTCATCATAAGTATAGAGACTGAAAGCTTTTGCTAATATGTTAATTAGGATGTCTGCTTTCGAGGTTGGCAGAGAAGGGCATTTCATACCGTGTAATCTCTAATCCAATTGAGAGGTCCATCGTGTGGACAATGTCAATTCCACAGGATATTGCTCAGGTAGAACAAGATCTCGGCTACTCTGCAAAATGCTAATTTGTTTACATCCTGAATCCCGCACTAAAATATGTTTGCGCACAAGTGATTTTTAGAACCCAGAACTTGCAACTAGTATTATTCTCCAATCTGGTCTGCATCTTACTTTATTGCAATGATAAGCATGTTACCTGAACATAAGGTTCTTCTCTGACACATGCATCATGCTCTTCGCTGCTGCAAGTTTTGATTTGTCATACATTTAGTGATGTGGTCAAAGCTATGTTTCTCATCTCTGGACTGTGCACGAATTGCACAAGGTTTGAAATAACTGTTTAAAGTTCAATGTGCTCTTCTGTGTCTTTCAGATCCAGGCATATTAGCATTTTTTATCGATATTATTTTGCGTGATTGTTTCTGTTACAGGTTTTTTTTGTATATCTTTTAGAATGAGATAATTCCTTATTAGAAAGTTATTGATCAAAGTTCATTTCATAAATCCTGAAATGTAGTTGAGTTACAGATTGTAAAATATTAAATGAGGTAAAAAAATAAATCGCTTGTGCTAAGGGTATCTTCTTTTCTCTGTTGTAGCTTTTGTCCCTAGGGCCCAAGATTCCATATGTTTTACTTATGTATGAAGCTGGAGACTTTTGTAACCTCGTTGCTAATGAAAGACTTCTAGAAAACATCTCAAGAGTTCGGGAAAAATACCCATCTTACACAGTGTGCTACCTGACCAATAAGTTAATGTCCTATATAAACAAAAGGTGAGTTTGATAAAGTAAATTTGTGTTGCATTAATGTTGCCATCATGAAGCTGAATAATCTGATTTTCTAGGGAAAGGGAAGAGTATAAGAACTTGGAAAAATCCAATGGTTGGAGGCAGCCTCCTATCCATGAGGTACTATGGTACTTAACGAGCATGTTTGGGGAAAACTTCTTTGTTGTTCCTTTGTTTGCGTCCTTAACCATACTTTTGTTGGGGTATCTGATGTTTAACAGGTACTTGCAAAGTTAACTACTCACTATATTGGAGTGCATTCCAGGCACTGTGTAGACGAAGCTGAGGTGGCTGAACATGTTGTTGGTTTAACAAGCAGTCTGGCCGCTTGGAAAGTCAGGTACTAATACCTACGCTATTTCTTTTTGTTTTACCAAAAGATAATATCTCGATATGACGCTACCAAAAGGTAATATCTCGATATGACGCTAGATAGAATTCACAATTTATTTCCCTCAAGAATCCTATCAGACCAATCAAACCAAGAATCTCTTGATAGAAACCCATGAAATCCATATCACATAATTATCCACGCAGTGAAAAAGTTAATGCAATAAAGATGACATTGAAAGATCATCATGAAAAGTGGGCAGGAAGGCTAGTCGTCTTCTTTTACTCATAAATCATACATGGCTGTGAAGTAAATGAAATGGCACCGATTCTGAAATCTCAACATTACGTAGAAGTAGATCTTACTTGACACATATACGTGCAACTGTATGGTTCTGGCTATTGCGTTACCTGCTTGGTTTTGAAGTAATCTAATCATGGTTCTACAATCTGACGCACAGGAAGAAGTTATCGTGGTTATCGGTAAATGCCGACGGTGTGCTAGCCTCCATGGATTCAGCTGACAAGCACTTGTTCAAAAAGAGTACATGGTAAAGTAAAGTAAAACCATTTAATTTAAATATTGTGTTTAGTATTTTTAAATCACCCATGATGTGGTTGGACTATAGGTTAAAAGCGTTAGTAGCGATACCAAAGGTACAGCCAAGATATCCAGTAGCAGTGTGGAAGAAATATCCATCAATGAAGTCTCTTCTGAAGGTTTATATGGATCCTAACGTATCGGTGAGTAATGTAATGCTGATTTGTCTTCCTCAGTTAATTGTTTCTAACGGTTTCTAAAGCGAATTATGTGGTGTTGGTTAACAAAAAATGGGGAACAGGTTCATGAGAAGGAGTTTCTACTGAAAGACTTGAAGGTGGAAGTGTTGTTAGGAGGAGAGATAAGGTTAGGTGAGGTGTGTTCGAAGAGGATATACAGAGTTTTAATGTCTAAAAGTGGAGCCAGTAAGACCGATGACGTCGAAAATGGTGGTGCTCTTCCCCCATATGGCTTAAACTAGAGCTCGGAGTCATGGGGAAACATTATATAGTTGAGTAAATTTCCCTGTCAAACAAAACAGAAGAAATGATTGTGTCTACTGTTTTTTTTTTTGTGTATATGTATGCAAAGTTAACCATAACCTCTTAGCCCTACCAGCCCCAATTAGCTCCAAACTCTAAACAAATCCCATTTGCCGACAGAAAAAGCAAAAACTTCATTTATCCGAAGTAAAATAATCGACAAGATACCTGCTCCTTGTGTATTTATTATTTGAATAAGAGTCCAGTGGTCCACTATAAGCACCTTCTCAGAGATATTTCCGAAGGTGGTTTTAGTTTTTGTATAACTCTTTGTTTCATTGTTACTCTGGAATCTGGATTACAAAGTCTTGGCGATGGCAAAACTGGAGCATTTCTCTCATTCATGCCCCTTAACCTCGCCGGACATCATATCTGATGGCATCTGCAACATTTGCTTCAAAGAAGAACCTGTCGAATTCGCCTGTAAGCCTTGCAATTTCGATTTATGTAATTCTTGCTCCAAGCTTCCGCAGAATATATCACACGATTTTCACACAGAACATCCTCTAGAGTTTTGTCTATTCCAATATGATCGAAAACCTGGATACCTGATCTGCTCTGCGTGTGGTAACATGTCTTCTTGCTCATTCTACGAGTGTAAAGAATGTGAGATCTGTCTTGATCTTGGTTGTGCGCTCTTGAATAACATCGTCACTGGTTGGGACTTAAGAGAAATGCTTCATTACAGCCATGAGCACTTGCTTAGAAGGTGTAGACCAGGACCAGACGCTAGAGGCTCTTGTCTGCTTTGTGAGCTTCCTCTTTCTCCTTCCTCGATATGTTACGGTTGCCTTTACTGTTACTCGTTTTTCCATGAGCGTTGCCTCGATCTTCCAACAGAGATTCAACACCCCGTGCATGCGGAACACCCGCTTAGACGCCTTGATTACTTAAGAAGTGGTGGTCGAACAGTTTGTAGTGCTTGTAAGGATCAAATTTACAGTGTTCCGTTTAGTTGCTTAGAATGCAATTTCGACATTCACATTAGGTGTGCGGATTCCTTGTTGCGCGGTTTGATGCACAAGTCTCATGAGCACAAATTGTTTTATGTATCTTCAAATGCTAAACATTTAGTAAGAGGAGATCCTTGTCAAATATGCATGGGAACTGCAGCAAATTCACTCGGTTTTTATTACTACTGCATCAAATGTGATTTGGATTTTCACTTCGAGTGTCTTGGGATACCCGAGTCAATCTTCAAGAGATCATGTCATGTTCATCCGCTCGTGTGTAAAATAATCCCACAAGAAGATGATTCTTTGGAGTATTGTGGCGTTTGCGAGACAATGATACACGCAGGACATCATGTGTATTCGTGCCAAGTATGTGATTTTCTTGGTCACATTGAATGCATTCTTCGTGAGGTAAATTACTATACTCATTGTTTTGTTTTTTTTTGTTTCTTAATGATGAACCGAGTACAATAATGATGCAATGATCTTTGTTTCATTAAAAAAAAAAAAATTACAGGAAGAGCCCTCACCGTTGTACTTGAAAGAACTGTATTCTTGTGGTGAAAACGTCAAAAGAACAACATATTGTGAAACCAACAAAATAGAAAACAAACTTACGGTATGGCTTTATAATAACCAGTGAAAGAAAGTATAAATGGTATGGCTCTAAATTGTTTCAGGTGTATGTTGCAGGTTAATGATATCGGACATATTCATGTGATGAGAGATGCGGACATGTGTGAGCTTCGTCAGGAAGAAAATTGCGACATATGTAAATCAGATATACTTGGTAGTCCATGGAAATGCGAGACATGCAGCTTCCAGACACACAGTTTCTGTGCAGAGTTGGGGAGACCATCAAGACATCGGTTTCATTGGAACCACACATTGACACTCTTGCCAAACCCCCTTGCTCGGGATATGATGAGTTGTGACAGCTGCAGAGAAGATATAAAAGGGTTCAATCTGTTTTGTCGAATATGCAGTTTCGTCATCCACGTCAGTTGCGCCATGAAAGGTAAACGTTTTCTTGGGATGTTAGGGCCCAAAGTCGTTGGAACATGGAGAGGACGTTGCTTGAAAGGCAAGCATAGTATGGTCCAAGTTATGTTCTCGAGGTCGAATCAAATTGTTTGTGATATTTGTCAAGAGAAGGTGTCTGGGAAAGCTGTTTCATGTACGCAATGTGAAAATCTTTATCATTTTCGGTGTTTTGACCGATGCCATCGTTCGAAAAACCTGATCGATGACAGTGATTCTTCTTAGTTAGGTTATGTCTCCTCTGAAACTAGTTAGTACTGCAACTTACTATTAATCTGGTTTGTTATACCCCTAAATTCTCTCGGTTAGTGAACATGTACTGCAACTTATTTGCTGTGAATTGTGACTCCTAAGTGCCAAGTTTGATGTCTCTGTTTAAGTGTTATTTCTGGTTTTTGTGTTTGTTATAAATTTATTTTTGTAAGTACCGTAGCTGCAGTTTATAAAATTTGACTACATTTTGGATCTAAATCTTCGACTTTCATTCTCCCACTGATCGACGATGGCAGAGCTCAAGCATGTCTCCCATGAACGTGCCGTGTCCTCACCGACAAAATTGGGATCTGCAACATTTGCTAAAAAGACGGTCCTGTAGTGATCCTTGTGAATCCGATCTACCTCAGAATATGTCACACGATTTTCACGTAGACCACCCTCTAAAGACCTCTCGATAACAACCATGCACACTTTGTGAGAAGGCTTGTGTCTTCTAATTGAGCTTCCTCTTTTCCCATCCGCTATATGTTATGATTGCGTTCATTGTTACTTGTTTTTTCACGATTGTCGCCTTGATCTTCTGACAAAGATTCAACATCTTGTGCATCCATCACACCCTAACGCCTTGATTACATACAAAATTGTGGTTTGGTGGAAGAAAATTGTGATGCGTGTGGAGGGAAGTATACCGTTTGCTTGCCTATAATGCGGTTTTAAACTTCACATGAGGTGTGTGGATACATTGTTGCGAGGTATGAAGCATCATTCTCATGAGCATATATATTGTTTTATGAAAATACTTGTGGTACGTATCTTTTGGGGAACCATCCATGTCAAATATGAAAGGAGTCTTGTTTGAACGCATTTTTTTTACTGCGTGGAATGTAGTTTAAGGTTTCATTTGAAGTGTCTTGAGATACTTGAGTTGGTAGTCAAGAAATCTTATCATATTCATCGGCTTGTGTGTAAAGTGTTCCTAGTCGAGAATGATTCTCTTGAGTATTGTGTCGTATGCGAGACGATGGTACACTCGGGACATGATGTTTATTCCTGAGAAAAAATGTGATTTTCTTGGAATGCATTATACGCGAGGTAATTATAGTTTGTTTCTTATGTTAATGATATGATTATAAAGACCTTCGATGATGAGCTATGCTTACTGATAATCAATAAGGAGCATCGCTTTCTTCAATAGACCAAGATGACTGCAAAACCATCGAATTAGAAAACAAAATTGTGGTATATATTGCTTCTTTTTATGATATACACCAATGTATGAAACCTTTTTTTTTTTGTTTCAACATTGTCTTTCTTGGATTGACTCAAAGACAATAATATCATAGGTTAATAGTGTCTGACGACACACTCATGTACTCGTTGATTTGAGCAAGACTGAAGACTGCAACATATGGTAACACATGTAAATGTGAGACCTGTAAGATCAAGACACATAATTTTGGTGTGGAGCTAGGGCTATCGATTTCATTCAAAGCATCCTTTGACACTCCTGCCAGATACCCCTGTTATAGAAAGGAAACATTCGGGTTTAATCTTTCGGTCGCATATGGGGCGGGGCTTAAACAAAGCCATTAAAGCTCGGTCCAAACAAGAAAATAATTATGATTCTCAGAATAAGCCCATGAATATTTTTTTTAAACTAGCCAGACTTTTGAGTATCACTTTAATCCAATCTTGAGAGCATTTTTCTGCGTTGACTTTCTAAGCTCTGCCCCTCCCACAGGCATGGCAGAGCTCCAGCATGGCTCCCACGAATGCGCGTTGACCTTGCCGAAGATCGTCGGAAATGGGATCTGCAACATGTGTTTCTTCAAAGATGAACCTGTCGAATACGCTTGTGATCCTTGTAATTTCGATCTTTGTAAACCTTGCTCTGAGCTTCCCCTGAAAATGTGGCACCATCTTCACCCGGAGCACGCACTAGAGTTTTGTATAGGCGATGAACGAAAATCCAAATACATGATCTGCATTGGATGTGGAAACATGTCTTCCGGGTCTTTCTACTACGAATGCAAGAAGTGTGAGCATAGTCACGGGTTGGGAAGCTAAAGAAATGCTTCACAACAGCCATGAACACATGCTTAGAAGGTGTAAACCAGGACCAGATTCTAAAGGGTCTTGTCTTCTCTGTGAGCTTCCTCTTTCTCCTTCTGCTATATGTTACGGCTGTGTTCATTGTCAATTGCTTTTTCACGAACGTTGCCTCGACCTTCCAGTTGAGATTCAACATCCCGTGCATCCGGCACACCCTCTCAGGCGCCTTGATTTTATACGAACTTTTGATGGTCGAAAATCTTGTAATGCGTGTAAAGTCAGGTTTGTTGGTGTCCCATTTGGTTGCTTAGACTGTGGGCTATACCTTCATCTGAGGTGTGCAGAGGCTATACCTTCATCTGAGGTATTATGCATGAGTCTCACAAACACAGATTAATTTTTGTAGAAGATAATCGCTATGATGCGAAATACGAAGAGCCATGTCAAATATGCATGGTGACAGTGATCTATGACAGATTCTATTATTATTGCGTCGAACGCGATTTGAAGTTTCATTTCAAGTGTCTTGACATACCCAAATATGTGGTAAACAAATCCTATCACATCCATCAACTCGAGCATAAAGCATTTGAAGCCAAAGACGACTTTTTGGAGTACTGTGGTGTTTGTGAGACGATGGTACACCCACTACACCCTGCATATACCTGTGAAGAATGTGATTTTCTCGGCCACACGGGATGCATTCTACGTGAGGTAATTAATACTTCATTTTAGTTCTTAACTTTTTTTCTTATTATGATGTTGGTAATGACGAAAATGATGAATACTCTTACTCATAAATCATAATCAACAGGAAGTGCCTTCCCCGTTGTACTTGAAAGATTTGTACCCTTGCAATAAAAGCAATACAAGATCAATACATCTAGAAGACCTTGAAACCAATGAATTAGAAGATAAACTAATGGTATGGCTTTTTTATCAAGCGTATTTTTTCTGGATGCCCTCCCCTCAATCGTTTATGTTATATGTATGCTCCAGGTTAATGGTATCGATCATATCCATGCAATGAGACCGGTGCACATGAGTGAGGTTGAGGAAGAAGCAAATTGCAGCATGTGTGATGGAAAAATACATGATAACCCCTGCAAATGCGAGACATGTAACTTTCAGTCACATGATTACTGTGCAGAGCTGGGCCGACCATCAAAACATCAATTTCATTTGAAACACTCTTTGACACTCTTCAAAGTATATATGGTTATCATTGTTCCTTTTTTTGCAACATCAGTTTCCATATTGAATGCATCAAAAGAGTGATATTACCAAGAAAGATCAAGTCTCACAGTCACTATCTGCATGTGGTGTGTCGTTTTATGGCTGCATTGATTGTGACTTCAACGCCCATGCAGAGCGTATTGGGTTTCCATCCAATGTGAAGAACCAACGACATCAACATATGCTCAAACTAATATACTCCTCTCGCCACCTAAGTTGTTCTCTCTGTGAATCTGAAATCAACTATAATATGATTATGATTTACTCATGCTATCACTGCAAGGACGTATTTCACTTCAAATGTATACTGTCTACGGTAAAGAGCTAACTAATAATCTTGTAGAACATAAGCTAC